GCGCACGTAGAAGCGCAGGTGGGGGGAGCGGTGGGGGTCGGGGAGGGAAGATTCCAGGAGCTGAAGGAAGCAAGCGGGCCGGCAACGACACCAGCTAGACCTGACACCCGTCACCCACGCGCACTTGCTTAGAGCCCCGTTCAAAGTTACAGGCCCAGCCTTGGCGCAGCAATCCTGGAGCCTAGACCCACAGTGCCAGTCACACCCTCGACACACTCAGCGTCCCACAAACCAGGTCAGACACAGAGCATCAGCATCTCTTTATTGGAAAACCGAGCCGCCGCCTCTGTTCTCAGCCAACCCTACAAACATCTAGGGGGTCTGTCCACGCCTCAGCCCAGGCCCGGCTACCACCTAGGCCTCTCCCTGAGCGTGAGCGCCCAGCTGGCCACCAGCACCCCCAGGATGGGTCCAGGCTCCCATCACAGAGCCTGGGAGGCAGGCTAGGCTGAGACCAAAGCAGGCATCGGCTGTCCTGATGGCGGAGCATGGGGCATGGTGAAGGTGGCGGCCTCGCTGGCAGGCATGCCAGGTCTTGGGGCTGGTGTCTTTATCTCCTGGAGGAAGAGGGCAGAAGGCTAGCCTGTCTCTGCCCCATCCAGATGCACAGCTGACCCCAGGGCTCTTCACAGCCTCTCTCTACTTCACCCTGCCTGCCTTCATCCCCTCCCACCACCCACCCCTCCTCCTGTGTCCTGTTATTTTCAGCTGCGGATGGTGATATGCAGGCTCTTCTCCCTTCTCTCCCACGCACAGCTGGGTTGCTCTCACAGCACCACCAACGGACACCCCTGCCCCCTCGGGCCTGGCTGGATGGGTCCCATCTTAACCCACCTTCATTCCATGTCTGGGGAGGCTGCCCACCCTCCCCAACTCCACAGCTGTGACCCCAGTTCTTTCCCCTCAGTCTTACAGCCTCCCAGTGGTGTCAATGCATCTCCTAAGCCTCGTTTCAGCCCCGCCAGATCCTTTCTCCCCAAGCTGAGATGCCCCTTGACCCCTAGCCTGGTCTCTCCAAGGGCTCTCCTTGTAGGAGCCCCTTCCCTCACGTTCCTTACCTCTCTTCTCTCTTCCCGCAGCAACATCTCTGTGCCTGTCCACTCCCCCTTAGCCTCCTCTTTCTGCTGGCGTCCTTACCGCCATCCTCAGAAGCTAATTTGTTGACAGGTCCGGGTCCTCATCCTGGTCAGCTTCGCGCTCCTGCTCTTCCCTTAGCCTCTGGCGCATCTCCTCGGCCTCCACCCGCTCCTCCTCCTCAAAGATCTCCTTGTCCAGCCGTTCGAGGTGTGCCATCTGCACCAAGGCCTCCTGGCGGTAGTCACTCTCATCTGTGCATGGGTTTTCCAGCAGTACCAGGGCCCGCAGTTTGGGCAAGTCCCGAAGCTTGCTCAGCTCCCCCAGGTCAGCCACCATATTGCCCCTGCCGTGGAGTCAGAAGTGGGTTCGCTCAGGCCTTGGGGGCCCTGGGAGACTCTCCCACTGGGATCCTGTTTCCCTAGAAACCCTGCCCCTGTGGATAGGCCCACCAAGCAATGCTAGGCTTGCTAGAGAGGTGCTCTGCTTCACTCCGGTTGGGTTTCTGCCCTTCAAGGGCTGCCTCAGTGCTAAATCAGCCCCTGTCCAGCCTCCTGGAGCAGTAGGGGTGGGTCACAAATGGGTCACAATTCCATAGCTGGAGTGAAGGGAGGAAACCTCCTGGGCAGAGACAGACACACTTTCTCTGCATCGATTAAACTTAGCCACAGGCTAGAAGGTAGGAATCAGGCCAGTGAAGCGGTCCTGGGATGTACGCATGGCTCAGTGAAGTGGGTGCTATGTTGAGTCCCTTTGCAGGAAGGGACTTCGGGAGGGGTTGGGGCTTCTAAATCTACCATTGGAGGGAGAGCTAGGAAAAGAGTTTCAGCCAGACTGCGAGTCCTTAAAGACAGGGTGGGGGGTCTCTAACTCGCAATAATGGAGAAGTAAGGAATGGAGGAGGAGCGTAATGGTTACACACGCTCCTGGGTTGCTAACTGCAAGGTCAGCAGTTCAATACCCCAATTGTTCCTCAGGGGTGGGGAGGGGAGGTGGGGCTTTTTATCCCTACTCCCATGAAGAGTTAGTCTCAGAAACCCACAGGGACAGTTCTACCCCATCAACTATGGCGGGGAGTTTGAGTTTGAAGGTAAGGAGGAGGGAGTGCAGGTCGGATTGAGGACGAGGTGAAGGTCCTGGAGTGGTCAGGTTTGGAAGGTCAGGGCTGGAGTGGAACTGCAAGGTCCAAAGCTGCTCCTGGTCAGGGGTAGGGGCAGGGTGGGGCTGGGGGGAGGTGCCTACCTCAGATTGAGGTACTGCAGCGATTTCATTGTCCCAGAAAAGCCACTCAGAGTTTCAATCTGGTTGTCTCGAAGATGCAGCGTGGTGAGGTTGCTGAGGGTCTCCAAGCCTTCCACCTTCTTCAGCATGTTCTGGGCCTAGACTCCAAGACACGGTCAGGAGACGGGAGGGAGAACAGGAGTAGGGAAGGAAGCAAAGTCAGAAAGAGAAGCAAAAGAGGGAGATCCAAGAAGCAGAGAGAGAGACGGGAAGAAGGGCGTGGAGGGGCTTAGAGATCTGCGAAGAGTAAAGAAGTCCAGGAGAAGCTGTTTGCTGTTCCAGAGCAAGGTTAACAGTCACACCCCTGCAACACTCTCCCCAGCCACCTCTCATAGGGAGGAGGGGCTTCAACCCAGCGCTAGGCTAGGAGCCCCCACCCCTTAGCCAAGAAGTGGCTTCAGCTCTGTTCTGCAATGAAGATGCTCAAGGCTCTCAAAGATGGAACATTTAGGTGGCTCCCTTTGCCTGAGGCCTGCACCTGTGATGTCATATTATGCAGCTGTGACGCAAATGACCTCTGTGTCCTCCATGGGTGATGTACTGTCATAACGCGTGTCATTTGATCCCCTTTAGAGGTCAAAGCATCTTTCACTTGGTATCTCCACAGCCTCTGATATCAAGTCAGGGCTTAATAAATAAATGATACCAGTTACCATGATGATGATGGACGTAGTGGCTGAGCCCACTTAAAAAACAGATGCCCTGGCCCCAGGACAGTGCCCTCTTTCCTGCCCCACCCTCTGTCCTGTGAGCTACCAGGTAGAGGTTCTTCAGCTTAGGGAGGTTGATCCCCAGGGTGTTGTTCAGCTGGTTCCCCCGAAGCTCCAGGGTATGCAGGCAGGTCAGCTTTTGGGGGTCCAGGCCTGTCACCATTTGGATGCGGTTTCCTGGGGAGGAAGGAGAAAGTCTGGGGTTCAAAAGGCCACACCAAGTATCCAGCATTCAGACGCCATTTTCTGGGAGCCTCTGCATCATCTTCTAAAGCTGAGTGCATGGTGAAGGGGGTCCCCTCCAGATCTAATACCTTTGGGCCCTGGAGCAAGTGACTTGGTAGTCCAAGGACCTGAGGGACATGTCCACTTCAGCCTCGTCTTTTTTAATGGATGAGGTGGTGGTGGGGGGTTATATTTCAGACTGCATTCCATAGTTCAAGTCACTCATCAAACCCCACCTCTATATTCTCTCCCACCCTGTCCTCCGCTTTCTCTTCTCCCTCTTGTGGACCTCTGCCCAAGTCTGTACTCGCCAACCGTCTGGTCCGTTGGTCCAGCTTCTCAGCCTGGTTCTCCCTCCTCCAGGAACCTGCAAAGGCGGCTGGCTCCCTTTGGCACACCAGTCTTTGTCGCAGGGTCTGTCCTTACCTAGTGGTCTCATACACTGCTTATTCTTTGGTGATTGACTCTTTTCGCTCAGTGCAGTGCTCTGCCAGCCCACCTAAGCCACGAGGTGCTTCGTCGGTTCATCATTGTTTTATGTTCGGCAGTGCGCAGCATTCTGTTGTGTGGAGGACCCCAAGTCTCTGGACCCATCTTGTACTGATGGACTTTGGGGCAGTTTCCAGCTTCTCGAGCTGTTGTGACCAGGGCTGCGATGTACATGGGAACGCAGAGGCCGGTTTGCATGACAGCTCTTACTTGGCTAGGGTAGCTACCCAGCAGAGGAAAAAGTACTGCTGGAGCCTCTGGGATTTCTAGCCTCCGTTGTTTGAGGGAGCACCATAGCACCTTCCACAACAGTCACACACACACTACCTCAGCCTTTGAGGAGTGAATGAAGAGTCCCTAGCAAATCGTATTGTTCACCTCCCTCTTCTACCAGCCTTTGTGCAGTTGCCATCTTCTCCGGTCTTGCCTGTCTGAATCATCCTGTTTGAAATCACTCCCTGGGCCCCTCTCCCCCCGCCAGATCTATTTTACCTCTGCACTTCCCTTTTAACCTACCAAGTTCATTGACTTATTGTGCTCCCTGCTAACGGCCCCCTTGGCCAAATGAGAACATAAGTTCCGTGACCACAGGGTTCTCCTCTGTGGTTCACTTGGGTTGGGTTGTTGTCCAGTGCTAAGTCTCCAGCACACAAAATGGCCATAGTGAATATTATAATGAGTACCTAAATGAATGGATACGTGCAGATAAGCCCACTTCTACTGACCCCAGATTAGGAAGGGAAGACTCTTGTGCAAGCCATTCTGCAGGGCCCACCTTTGAGATCCAAGGTGCCCAGACGAGGATGAGAGATGCCCTCTGTGTCAGTAATCTGGTTGTTAGCAAAACTGGCAATCTGCAGGTAGGGCAGTTCATTGAGCCGGGCAGTCCGCAGCCGGTTGCCATCAGCCTTGAGCCAGAGCAGGTGGGTGAGATGATTGAGTGGGGACAAGTCTGTCAGGTGGTTCTCAGAAACATCCACATAACGCAGATGGATGTAGGAGCGCAGCAAGATGATGTCTGTCAGATCCCTAGGTGGTGGTGGAGGGAAAGGCCAGGGTTAGGGCTAAGTCCAGCTAGGACAGACTGGGTCCTCGAGATGCTGGAGATGTCTCATAGTGGGAGAAGACTGGGAAATGGATGGGAGGGATGCGGAGGAGGAAGAAAGGGTACATGTGTCCTTCACAGTGGTCAGGGCCTGGTCTCAGGGATCGAGGGACTGTTTCAGGAATCCTCCTCACGCAGTCTCAGGCACCAATTCTGAGACCAGCTGGGAGTCGCACGGCTCCTGAACACATCCATTTTATCCCTCCTTCACCACTGGGCCAGGGATGAGCGCGATCCAAGCTCTCAGAGAAAGAAAGAGAAGAAAGACAAGGGGTGACGGCAGGAAAGGAGATGAGGCCCTACAAGTCTTTGTCCCCCCTTTGGCCCTCCCAAACCCACCTGCCCTTGACTTCCAGCTTGACGTAAGCATGAGCCAGGCCGTTACCGGTCTTACAGAGCATAGAAAGGCTCTCCTTCATCAAGTCCAACGAGAGGGAATTGGGTATCCACTGCAGGAGACAGCCGAGTCAGGCATCTTGAACCACCCAAGGCTATAGGTCCCCAGAGGGCCCGCTGTCCCTTCCCAGGGGCTCACTTCCTCCGACAAGTCTTCCCCGTCTTTCCTGTAGTCCTCTCCCTCCTCGGTCTCCTTCTCATAGTCATATCTTTCCGGGTCATCCAGGTTTGCCTCAAAGTACTCCACATCCTCTTCATCTGACATCTTTCTTCGCGGTGGAAGGCTCTGGGGTCAGTAAGAAAGACGAACTCCGTCAGCTTCCCGTGGGCTAACCCTCCACCTCCCTCACCGCCAGTGGCCGGCTCCCCTCTCGCCACCCCATCCATGCATCTGTCCTCCTTCCTGGGAACCCCCATGTTGATCCCCAGTCTCCCCACTTCCCGCTTTCAGGAGGTCTCCCTAAGACTCCCAAGACCCTTCCTTTCCCCAGGGCTGCACCTCTCCTCCGGCAGCCCAGTCTCCCCACTTTCTCTCGTCTCCCCCACCTCCACATTCAGTCTCGGTTCTCGTCCAGTGTCCCCCTCACGGATCTCTCCTCCGCCACCCTCCTCTCCTCTCTTCGAGCCCCCGCCCCGCGCCCCTTTCTTCCGACTCTCCACCCTCTCTTAGCCCCACACCCCTCGGTCCCCACCACCCCACCACTCCTGCTGGAAGCGGCTCTGGGAGGGTCCTGGCTAGGAAGGCAGGGGCTGTGGGGGGCCAGCGGGAAGGAGAGGGGGTGCACTGTACTCTAGCAACGGGGCGGGGGACGCTAGGCTGCAGCGGCTGCCAACGGTTGGACTCGGAGAAGCCGCCAACTGAAAAGAAAATCCGCCGGGTCCAAGGGGTGGGGGGAAATCAGTGGTTGCTAGGTGACGAGGCCAAGTTCCCACTCCCGGGAACCCGGATGAGGCTCGGAAGGCCCGGGGGCGGAGCTAAGAAGTGGGCGGGGCGGGAGGAGGAGCGGAGGCGGGGCTGTGTACACGTCACCGTCTTTGTTTAAAGGGCACGCGTACTGTCCATTTGAAATAAACGCAATCCCTGGGGCAAAGGGGTCTGGAGGGGGGAAAGCGGGAAAAACGTAAGCTACACGTCCTTCCCCTTCAGTTCGGTCTTTGGAAAGTGGGTGGGTAATCGGGATCGTGAGATGTGTGTTGGAGGGAGGCTTGGCAGATGTTCAGTTTGCTAGCAGTTTACTTAAGCAATTTCCACTTCATCTGTACATGGGTTAACTCTACTAAGGGGTAGGGATGGGCTATTACGCACTCTGTAAAAGGCGCTTCACACCTTCTCTCTCATTCCGGGTTTGGTGAAAACTCTTTGGGCAATGGGGAGAAAACCCAGCATCTGCCAGGAAAATGCTCCTGTGCCAACCTGGTGATCTAGTCCCCCACCCCACGGGTCACCCACACCCAGCCTGAAGGGGATGAGGAAGAGGCTGAGGGGCAACAAACTTGTGCGGAGAGTTTGTGGCAGGTACTGGGTGGGCACCTTTACAAGTGATTTTTAATTTGCACCCCAGTCCGGTGAGATGGACACCTTAAGGAGGAGGAGGAATCTGTATGGCACCCTTCCTGCCAGAACTGGGAGGGAGGGGGATATTACCAATCTTGCAGTGGAATCTAATGTAAATAACACAATTCGATACGTGACTGTTAACTCATGTTACAGATTTTAGGTAACAAAAACTGGTATGGTAGGACCCTCTGGGAGTGGAGTGGCTATGCTAAGCAGTGGTCCACATGGTTGGCAGTTCGAAACCACCAATAGCTCCCTGGGAGAAAGACTCAGCTTAAACAGCTACAGTCTCAGAAACCCACAGGGGGTCACTAGGTGCCAGCATTGGCTCCAGTGCAGTGAGTTTGGCTTGGTTTTTGGTTTATAAAGTGGTGGAGCTTCCTACTCCCCGAAATACAGTCTCAGAAACCCGCAGGGACAGTTCTACCCTTTCCTATAAAGTCTTTTTAAATTATTATTTTATAAATCATTTTATTGGTAGCTCGTACAGCTCTTACCAGAATTCAAACATCCATACATTGTGTCAAGCACATTTGTACATTTGTTGCGGTCATCATTTTCAAAACATTTTCTTTCTGCTTGAGCCCTTGGTATCAGCTCATCTTTCCCCTCCCCCCCCACCTTCCCTCCCTCCCAAAGCCTTGATAATTATTTTTTTCATGTCTTACACTGACTGATGTCTCCACCCACTTTTCTGTTGTCCATCCCCCTGGGAGGGGGTTATATGTAGATCATTGTGATCGGTTTCCCTCTTCACCTTACCCTTACCCTCCTGGTATGGCTTCTCTGAATATTGGTCCTGAGGGTTTTGGTTTTTTTTCTTTAAACATTTTATTAGGGGCTCATACAACTGTTATCGCAATCCATACACACATCAATTGTGTAAAGCGCATTTGTACATCATTCTCAAAACATTTTCTCTCCACTTAAACCCCCGACATTAGATCCTCATTTTTTCCCTCCCTCCCCGCTCCCCCCTCCCTCATGAGCCCTTGATAGTTTATAAATGGGTATTTTGTCATATCTTGCCCTGTCCGACGTCTCCCTTCGCCTACTTTTCTGTTGTCCGTCCCCCAGGGAGGAGGTCACATATAGTTCCTTGTAATCTGTTCCCTCTTTCCTACCCACTCTCCCTTTACCCTCCTAGTATCGCCACTCACACCACTGGTCCTATAGGGCTCATCCGCCCTGGATTCCCTGTATTTTCAGTTCCTATCTGTACCAGTGTACATACTCTGGTCTAGCCAGACTTGCAAGGTCGAATTCGAGTCATGGTAGTGGGAGTGGGGAGGAAACATTTAGGAACTAGAGGAAAGTTGTATTTCTCATCGTTGTTACATTGCACCCTGACTGGCTCATCTCCTCCCCGAGACCCCTCTGCAAGGGGATCTCCGGTGGCCTACTAATGGGCTTTGGGTCTCCAGTCCGCACTCCCCCATCATTCACTATGGTAAGATTTTTTGTTCTGATGATGCCTTATACCTGATCCCTTTGACACCTCGTGGTTGCATAGGCTGGTGTGCTTCTTCCATGTGGGCTTTGTTGCTTCTGAGCTTGATGGCCGCTTGATTACCTTCAAGCCTTTAAGACCCCAGACGCGGAGGGAGGGGAAAAATGAGGACCTGGTGTCGGGGGTTTACATGGAGAGAAAATGTTTTGAGAAACGATGTACAAGTGCGCTTTACACAATTGATGTGTGTATGGATTGGGATAACAGTTGTATGAGCCCCTAATAAAATGTTAAAAATAAATAAATAAATAAATAAATAAAACATGCAAACAAACAAAGACCCCAGACGCTATACTTTTTGATAGCCAGGCACCATCAGCTTTCTTCGCCACATTTGCTTATGCACCCATTTGTCTTCAGTGATCCCTTCGACACCTTGTGATCACACAGGCTGATATGTTGTACCATGTGGGCTTTGTTGCTTCTGAGCTAGATGGCCACTTGTTTACCTGAGGGGTTTATCTGTCCTGGATTCCCTGTGTTTCTAGCTCTTATCTGTACCCGTGTACATGCTCTGGTCTAGCCAAATTTGTAAGGTAGAATTGGGGTCATGATCCTCGGGGGAGGAAGCATTAAAGAACAAGAGAAAAGGTGTATGTTTCATCGGTGCTACACTGCACCCTGACTGTCTCGTCTCCTCCCCGCGACCCTTCTGTAAGGGGATGTCCAATTGCCTACAGAGGGGCTGTGGGTCTCCACTCTGTACTCCACCTCATTCACAATGATATGATTTTTTGTTCTGGATCCTGGATGCCTGATACCTGATCCTATAGACACCTCATGATCACACAGGCTGGTGTGCTTCTTCCATGTGGGGGGCTGTCCTTACGGTTCTCTCTGTGCATTGACTGCTCTGAGCAGGAATATCACCCTCAGGGCTTGGTGGGCCAGGATGTGCTCCACTCTCTCTCCCTCCCCCTTAGTTTGCTCCTGTGTGCTCTGATCAGACATGCCCCTCTCCCTGTGCTGCAGCTTCAGTGCTGTCCTCTGAAGTGAATTCTTCTGCGGGGAGGGGGGCTATCCACATAGTTGGGATTGGGGCCGGCCCCTCAGACCTCTCTATTGGTTCCCTGCTTCATGCCGGTATGATACATTCTCATCTTGAAGCACCTGGTTGAACTCTGGTCCTTCTTTCCCTGTGGAGATATAAACAACACCCTCCCCCTTTGTGGGTTAGTGCCCTGTTCCCCCGGCTACCCATGTCTTTTTTTCCCCCTCATTTTTATTTGGCTACCATAAGTATCCCTGGATTTTGTCTGGCCCCTGCCATACTACCTGGACCTCACTCGTGAGTTTGGTTTTATGAAGGGGTGTGGTAGATGAGAGAGGTAAGGTGAACTGGAAATCAAGAACTATTACTTCCTGCTCTGCTTCCAAACTAAGAGTAGGAAGAAGGGTCTGGTGACTATATAACCCATCATGGGGATGCAGTAGGGCCAGGCAGCATTTTACTCCATTGTGCACTAGGTCACCATGAGTCCCAGCTACTCAAAGGCAGCTCATAACACTAACACCCCGACATCCAGGATTGACTGCCACCTGCGAGGATTACGTCAACAAGTCATTTAATAGAATGAGATGAATCCTGCAATAATGATCCCTGACCCCACCTGACCTTTTACTAAATGCCAGGGGATACTTTTATAATGCCTGCCTACTATCATATATTAGGGCAGAGGTTCCTGTGGGGAAACCTGGGGGAAAGAGAGCTCACTGCCTGGGCCAGGAGAGCAGGTGGTTCTGCTGGCTGGAACAGTGGGTGCAGGAAGGTGGTGGGGGAGGGGGTGATGCCAGGACAGCCAATGGAGCTGGATCCCACAGAGTGATCTGGACTTTAGCCTGAGAGCCGTGGAGTCCCACTGGAGGGTTTATTGTGTATTTATTTGACCAGGGCTGAATTTATACTGTTTGTTTTTTATTATTTTTAAAAAATAATTCTATTGAGAGCTCATACGACTCTTATCACCATGCATCCATCGTCCTACACTGTTTAATGAGAGCCGCGCGTCTTTGGTCAGACCCTTCCCCTGGTGGCTGGTCCAGGCACCATCTCCTTCAATTACAACAGTAAGAGGCCAAGATCTCCCCCAACACCACTTTCACTTATTCAAGAATTAAAATATAAATAAATAAGGTACGATCAATCATCTGTCCTGTTCATCAACTGGATTTTTAAGATATAATGTGTCTTGGACATCTTTCATGTCCCTATGATAATTGTCTAATCTTCTAATTTACGGGTATATGAGGGAACTTCCAAAAACTTCCTGGAAAAAAACGGAGTTCAAAGATAACAAGCTCTTTGAAGTCCTAACTGATGACCATTCACTGGGGAACAGGACCAGCAAGGCTGCAGTAAACTCTTAGGCATGTTTGTGCCCTTCCTTGTGACTGCCCTGCCGGGGTGCTGCTCACACTTCATTTTATTTATTTAAATTGTTTTTAATCGTTTTATTAGGGGCTCATACAACTCTTATCACAATCTATACATACATCAATTGTGTAAAGCACATTTTTACATTCATTGCCCTCATCCTTCTCAAAACATTTGCTCTCCACTTAAACCCCCGGCATCAGGTCCTCATTTTTCCCCTCCCTCCCCGCTCCCCCCTCCCTCATGAGCCCTTGATAATTTATAAATTATTTTGTCATATCTTGCCCTGTCCGACGTCTCCCTTCACCCACTTTTCTTTTGTCAGTCCCCCAGGGAGGAGGTCACATATAGTTCCTTGTAATCGGTTCCCTCTTTCCTACCCACTCTCCCTCTACCCTCCCTGTTTCGCCACTCACACCACTGGTCCTGTAGGGCTCATCCGCCCTGGATTCCCTGTATTTTCAGTTCCTATCTGTACCAGTGTACCTCCTCTGGTCTAGCCAGACTTGCAAGGTCGAATTCGAGTCACGGTAGTGGGAGCGGGGAGGAAACATTTAGGAACTAGAGGAAAGTTGTATATTTCATCATTGCTACATCGCACCCTGACTGGCTCATCTCCTCCCTGAAACCCCTCTGCAAGGGCTGCTCACACTTTAATGAGCTTGATGATCGCCTTAAAATGTAGACGGCGATATCCCAAGGGATGCCAAGCCCATGCTGCTGGCATGACAACTCCGTGAGTAGTAACATAGCTCGGGGTGGAATCTACTGGCTTTTTAAAAAGTTACCATCTAGTTGATTCTGACCCTGGGCCCCCCCCCTCCCCCGTGTGCAGAGGGCAGCGGCCCCAGAGGGGTTCCAAGGCCATGACCTCTCAGAAGTAGATCGTTACCTCTCTCCCTTGTGGAGCGGTTGTTGGGTTCCCGTGGCCATCCTTCCAGTGATCAACAAGGGCTTAGCCACTGGACCATATATTCGTGTGTATGTGGACGGTTCTGCGGCTCTCGATTATTTCTCACTGACTTGTATAGCTGGCACTTTCTTCTCTGGTACCCATTGTCACGGTTATGGATTTTACTATTGATTTCCATATATATATATGTCACATATCCTGTCATCTTCTGAACCCTCTTATGATTAGTTCTAATAATAGAATAGTCTATCTATTGGATAGAGTGGAATGATTCAGTAAATTCCAGGATGTGATTTTATATTCGTAAGCTGTAAATCGACAGTGTTTTGAATGGGGGGCAATCTGTCAGGGCCGGGGGCTATGTGGTAGGGATGGAGCGGAACGCTCCAAAGGACCCCGTGACTGAGTGAACTTCGAGTGTGGAGAAGAGGAATGAGTTCAAGGTTTGGCTGAATCTACACTTCCTGAGGAAATAACATGAGCGCTGGAAGGAATAGCGGGAAATCTGGAGGAGAACACCTTTCTTTGGCGTTGACTGGGATTGCGATTGTCGGGGAGCATGCTCAGGAGATGTCTTTTAGCTTACTGGAGACAGGGAACCAGAGCCGGTCTTCCGGGTTGGCCGATCCCTCAGCTCTCTATCATGCATGACTGCGGTCTGGGATTTCCTGAAGCTGTTCTTCCCACTGTCACGTGATGGCTGCAGGTAGCAATCAGGGACTACTGCGGGACCTTTCACGCCCAGTCTGTACTTCTGCTCGCTGGCCTTACTTTTCCGTGAGATTACAAATGTGCTTAGAAACTTTCGTGGCACCATTTGATCAGGTTCTGTGACTCGTGGAAAGCATCCCTGGCGGCAAATCATGCTTTCTCAGAAGACTGTCTTTGTCTCTCTAGCACCCATCGCGTTTGCATTGCTGCATCAAAGGGAATGCCAGTCCCCCAAAGGTAAGTGTGGTAGGAGTCCACTATGATCAGAGGAGAAACAGGACAGAAGTTTCCATAACAAAAGAAACAGACCTTGGTGGTTGGAGGGAGGGGAGAGAAGGAATAGGCTAGAGAGTAGACAGGTATTAACTTGGTTAAAGGGGAAGACAGTACTCCACTAGGGGGAGAAGAAAAATCAAAGGTGGGGGGGGCAGGGCACACTTATTGGGGTGGCTGATAAGTAGTTTTAGTTGTTGAATACAAAATAGATGATATAAAACGTAAACCCTGTGGGGAGAGGAGGGTCCCCAACAAATCATCACAGGTCCGGTCGGCGCAACTGTACAGCGATAATGCGTAAAGATTATGGTAAAGTCATAGAGAGCATGAGACATAGAAGAGTCAAATAAGGGACACAATTCATGGTAGCATGCTCACCTCAGCCCCGCATGGTGGTTCTCCTGGGGGGAGCCCTGGCGCCAGAGCAGGAGAGAGCCCAACTTTATTGCTAACCAAGGGTTATATCTCCTTAGGGGGCATCATTACAGGAAACCACATGTCACAGGAAGGGATCGTACAGTAGGCATACACATAGTAGGAAGGGGATCTATGATAGGCATAAGTGTGACAGGAAGGGGATGAGCTAGGGGTGTGCCCATAGGAATGGGAAGGTCTAGGGGTATACAGTGAACCCTTGTTTATTGCGGTTAATCGGTTCTAGACCCTACCATGATAAATGAAATTCCGCGAAGTAGGATTCCTTATTTGTAAATCAAATATTTTCATAGTTAGAGCATAGAGGACATGAAAAACACCCTTTAGTCA